ATTATTATTATTATTGTTCGTCTATTAATATTAATCCGGTTTTATGCTTTTGATGCTAAATTAAAGAATGGTTTTTGGCGATATCGGAAAAGAGTAATATTAGTCTTGTCCTCTCTGGGTATAAAATTTAAGTTATCGTCTTTTGAAATTCTAAAATTGGACGAGCATGAGTTAAAACATCCCAAAAGTATGCTTAGTGAAGTACTCTGTCAAATAGCAAAGTAAGAAAACTCAATTGCTTGCGCTTATAGTTATGCTGTTTGTATACAAACAGCTATTTGACAGTTTAAAGTTAGTGATAATGTGTGGCTAAATCAATAATGTCAGAAGAAGAACTAAGGCCGCCAGTCAGTCCGAGAATTTCAAACGAGTCGATTCATTACTGCACAATTAAATGTAATCGAAAATAACCGGCTTTAAAAGTACGAATAATTAGTGAGATATAGAGCATTTCGAGTGATTGTTACGAAATAATTGATCACATTTGGAGTATTACATGGAGAAGCGAAGAATTGAAAATTATAGAGAATTTGTCAATTCAAAGAATTGGAAATGTTAAAAAGCTAGCATATTGTAAAAGTATGTAATGAACGGCAAATTCTTGCAGTAACCGATATTTACAGCTTTCTCGTCCAAAATATTAATATTTGGAAAGAATTTATCTAATTTGAATTTCTTTAAATAATTGCCATGGTTAATTTTGCACACTTAACTGATTTATCAATGCATTAACAAGTTTGCTGGTTGTTCGAGATAAATTAAAATTTCTTAATTTGTGAACTGACTTTATGATCAACTTTTTTAAGCTGAGACATATATCAATGATTGATTTCAATTTATCCATAGGAATTACCCTGCCTAAAACACATTCGATTATTTGCATTATCTGAAATTGAAATATTATTGCTACTACCAAGTCATTTAAATAAGATGTAATCCGAACTTGGAAAAGTTAGAAAATGCTTGTGATATTCATTCCAAATGAAGCAATATATTTGATGAATTTTAGATGATATGAGATATTATATACAACAAAAAGCTTTTCATCTTCAATATAGTATCCATTTGAAATATGTCATGTTGCTTTTGTAATTCATTAAGCAAATACTGTGCCATATCTATCCCTTCACTGTAATGGATCAAAACAAAAAAAAATCCCATTACTATTATCGACATTTTCAATAAAATATTTGTTTATCTTTATTTTATCTGTTTTTATTGTTTCGAAATTTTATTGATTTTCAGTAGGATCAATAGGATTGTATATTATTGGAGTCCGAGTGTTGAATGGATAATGTAAACGGACATCCCGAAATGGACTCCAAATTTAACGCTAGCGGTTATATATTCATCTTAATCGACTCGCTGGATTTCAATAGCTTTTCATAATTCTATAATAAGTTATCTGAAATTTCCCATTATTAACTATCATTTAATAAACAATCTCACCTCCGAAATATTATTACTTTGATACCTGTATGAGTACTAATTAATTACTTAAAGTACTTAAATATTTCCAATGTTCCACTTTTATCGGTTTGAAAGTCTTCATTAAAGTATTTCATCACAATATAATATTATGCGGAGAAATGACAATACAAGTTTTTTAGAAAATATTCGAACAGAAGGACTGTCTAAAAAATTAGAGCCTTACAGATAGAAGCCCCGGGATTTTTAGCATATGCATCTTTTCTCGGTGAATGTGACAGCAATCAAAATGATCAAAATTGAAAATTGAAATGAGAGAAGTAAAGATGAAAATGATGCATTATATTTCGAAGTTCTTAATATCCTTTGTAACGAAAACGAAAGAAAATTAAAACAGTGAAAGTTTGTACACGTCTACCTTCCGAACTGATTGTGATTATATGAATGTGAAATGTGTTTACATAAACGAAATGCAGTGGCACAACGAGCACTGATAGTGTTATTTCCTTAAGAGGATAAATTCTATTGTAAACAACCCATATTGTTTTCATTTACTGACAACAATAAAATTCTCACAGTCAAATGTTTCTGGCATAACTGTATCATTGACACGGCGTTTAAAGTTAGCATTTCTCAGTTCGTTTCCTCAAAATGATCGTATTTATAGCTGTATCAAATTGCATTTAAATATATCAGAACTCTCGATAGATGATCATCCGGACACTACGGTTAGAAATGACATTTATAGCGTTCTCACACGGCATTTAATTCTAAATCTGTGAGAAAGCAAATAGAAAGCAAAATGTGCCGAATGCTGGAAAGTATGTGAAAAAATTAAGCCACATGACATTTCAGAATTTAATTTGAGGCAAAAGATCAAGAGTGAGATAGCTGCCCTTTATATACGTATGTTCGGCTTATGAGCATAAATCCGAAAAATTATTGTCACTAACAAAATAGTGTAAACAAAATTTTACAGTTCATAACAACAGATATATTCAAATCGCACTCCGAAATCAGATAATTGATTATAAAATAGTAATTAATAGTAGTAATAATAATTAATGATTAATAATAATAACAGTGGCAAATATTATTGCTATAAACAGTAATAATAATAATAATGTGATGAAATAACTGAAATTATAAGGAACACAGTTCTATTATTCTGAGCTTGCACTCAACATTTACAAGCTGAGCGACAGTATAGGAGAGTTAAAACATCAGTAGGATGAATACAGGACAGGTTTACCTGCAACATTAAGGATCATCAAAACTGTTACAGTATCTAGTACAAAAAAGCTTTATGGAAAGAAAATAAAGTGATTAGATAACACAGAGCTGGACATAGTGATCAACAAATAGAGCTTACAACATAAGCTCTTAAATTCGTTAATTCATCCATTAGATCGATTTGAATTAATTCGAATTATAACAAATAGAACTAAAATGATAGAAAAAGCTAGAACTTATGTCATCCTTAATTATGTGAATAGAAAGAAATATTCCTACAGAAAATACAACACAAATAAGATAATGCAATATTGATTGCCAGCAACACATTGAGAGCCTGCATCGACTTCGAAATTGATTATGGTACAATTAAGGCCATAACAAGTGTGAGCTAAAAAATTGGTTTTTTTTTGTTGATTAATTGGGAATTTCGAGAATCGCAACACAGCGAAATTGGAAAATTCAAATGGAAAGAATAAAGAAGAAAGAAAAAATTCATATAAAATTAATCTAATATGCACGGTCTTCCAAATAAACTTTCTTATTAAAACCGAAAATAATGAATAAAAATACAAGCTTATTAAATAAAAATTAAGCAATACACTTTTCTTTTTTCGCAATAAGAATAATCTAACGATATTACAGATGTTACAATCACAGCAGTAACTCAGAAACAAGCTTTATTTCGGGTATAACGAAATATTTCCAAATAGAAAAAATAAACTTCATTAAGCTTTGGAAACCTCTTAATCTCTCAAACATTGGCTTTAGAATTCAAAAAAAATGAATAAAAAAGATTTTTCATTGTATCGAATTCAATTTGAATAAAGCTACATGATTTATCATAGCGCAAACAGTCTTAGCAATAAAGTTTTTACTTCGAAAGCACGAAAATCTAAATTAACAAAACCTTCACATTGATTCTGTGTTGAACAATCACTATTTTCAATGGGTAAAGAACAGATGGTTCTTTCTAGACCATCACCTAAATCAACAGAAACAATACGACTATGGTTAATTCTAAGTTTTACACTAACACCACCGCCAAATGATTCAAATAAGCGGATAACCAATGTATTGACATCATCCTCAGCTGGTTTCACAGTGTCAATAACAATACCTACAAATAGATAGAAAATATAACTCTGTTGTCCCAATCTCTTTCAATCACAGTCTCGAAATTAAATTACAGTCTATTTTATTACAATAAAAAGCAAATGTGGAGTCAAATATTTGAAAAAAAAATTATGAATTCATATAAGTAATCCAAACTATTTCTAATAAAAATAAAAACCTTCAATTATCTTAAAAAGAAACAAACCTTCACTTCCGTCGATTTGCAGAAACGATGAAAGCTTGTTTTTAGCACACCAGCCATTAACGAAACGAATAGGATTATTAAATTCGTAAGCTGCTCTCATGACGCTCAAATTTAAGTCATTACAAGGCCGTTGCATTGAGCCAATAAAAGGATACAGTGCATACGAAAACTAAAAATAATGAGACTTGTGAACAAAAAAAACTTTAGATAAAGCAAGATGAAAAAAAAATCTATTTCAAAACCATCTTAATTGACAGGAAAGATGAAATTGAGATATCAGAAAGTGCCGATGATTATACTAAATAAAAAAAATTAACCGTTATTTTTTTATCTGATATTCATAAGAAAAATTATGTAGTTCAGACTCACTTTGCAACCCACTTCACATTTCTCTATACAATAATATACAATCTAGACACCAAATGTTCTTTTTGCCAATACCTACAGCAAACAATGGATTCTATATAAAAATCATCACTGGAAAAAGTGAAAATAATCAAACTATGGAAACAAAAACAAAAGAGTACTCTGTGCTCTCCCATGTCAGCAGTATTATCTGGAATTTTACTTGCTCGAAGCAAAGACAATGTCATAGTATTGCCAATGCATGAATGACCATATTTGCAATCGTTCAAAAGAGCAATGCCTCGATCGAATTCATTTAAAGCCATCCATTTATGTCCAACAACTTCATACCTCAAACAATTTAAAACAATTGTTTGAGGTATGAAAAAAAGCTTCATTTCTTTTCTTCTGCTCCACAGAATCCGTATTTTTATCAAATGGTTATTAATGTTGCTTCTTATTGCCTTGAAAGGGCGGCATTGAATTGCCGTTCCTTTGTTTTATATAAAATCAAATTTTCTTTTTTAAGTTAAAAATTTTGACTCAAATCTCGGTGATCATCTAATGATGCTCGCCATATTTTATATTGCAAACTCCCTGCAACATATTTCATTCTATTAATAGTGGAAGCAATTATTTTGAATTCTTTGAGAGTTTTGCTAGCAAAATTGACTGACAGTGAGAAATTCAACTGAAAGTGTTAAACACAAGGCGAATGAAGAGAGAAATGAATCAGAGAAATATTTTTAATAACCAATAATCAAAAAAATATTAAGACAAAGCAAACATACTTCGCAGCATCCCAAGAGGTATTTCGATGTGTTGGTCGTTTTATATGACCAAACTGTATATCATAATAAGCATCCATGTCATGAACATTTGTTGGAAACTCAACCTAAAATAAAAATTATCGACAGGTTTTTTTCTTTTCTCAGATACAAGATATGATTAGAAGATAAAAGAAATATGATGATATCACTGCAGAGTTCGTGACACTGTACTGGCAAAAACAATTTGCAAATCTTTGAAATAATCCATTATAACTAACTTTTAGAAATTTATGCGATTCATGCCATTGTACCGTGACGTCGAAAGTCAGGTAAGGCAGATGTGCAAACATGGTAATATATTGCACTAGAGAGCTTTTCGCACTTATTGCAAATTCCAGACGGATACAGGCTTCCGATGGTGTATTCCTAACTAGAACTGCCCGCGAATCCTGTAATCAATATAAGTGTATAATTTTGAGACTTTTCACCATTAAAAAAGCATAATTTTACTTCAATGTTGTTTTGACAAATAGTAATAAGAGAAAGAGCAACTCACGGAATTAATAACTTCTCGTGTTTCCATATGGTAATCCATCACATCCCACGCATCCCAAAAAAGAGGCACATCATCAAAAATGACAAATTGATTAGCGAAACTATTTTCAGGAACTGCTGAGAAATTTTTAATAATATTCGCTTCACTTACGCAGTGCACCAATAGTTTCGTAATGCGACCCATCTAAATAAATAAATCGGTGTTTTGCAAGTAATTATAGTTTTTTAACAAGAAAGTAGAACTGATCAGAATAAGTCAAATTTTGAAGCTCGATTATTACAACATTAGAGAGCAAAAAACTGCTCTTCTACGTATAACAAATATGCAATTTTTACAAAGGATCACTTTCCGCCGTAAAAGCCTAATAAGTGATTGCTCTAAGAAATAGGCCTCCCCAATTTCGAATTATCAGATCCTGAAGAAAAGCAATCTATTTCCCTTTTTCTATTCTATTGCTGAATGCAAAAAACCTCGTTGAATTACAGTGGAATTACCTTGTCAATAGATGCAGTAATATAACGATTTTGCAATCTGAATTCAGCACCACTTTCTGAAACCAATGGTCCATTGCTCAAAAATACCTTGAATAATTCAAGTTCATTCAAATGCGTAATGGAGAACGGCTCCAAACGCAAAAAACGATTGTTGTGAAATAAAATTCTCGGCCAATTGCAACTGTTAATTACCCATTCATTCGGTGTTGTTTCACAGCTTTTACCTGCAGCAGTTTATTTTTTTTTTTTCAAAAAACTTTCAGTTTAAAAACTGAAGCATCTGGTGGACTTAAAGTTACAATTTTCTGCAACTTTCAAGACTACAAACCTTCCCACTTCAGTTGTTTTCCACCATCAGCAGCAAGCTTGTCCAATAAAATAATATAAATCTCAATTGCATCGGCTACTACTTCTTTAATACAACTGCCCGGGAGGACATCATGGAACTGATTGAGTAAGAAACGTTGCCAATGCGATGTAAGAGGCTTACCATCGTTGAATTCAAGAAGTGACATTGACTGAAGGAAAAAAAAGGTTAACATAAGTTATTATCAATCCACAGAATAAGGAACAACAAAATAAAATATTTCACAGATGAATTATGAAGGCGATACTGCCAACCATATAGCATTAATCGTCGTACGCTACACTATTAGAGAAAGTATATATACTGAAAAATATGAAATTGAGCATTAAAATACTTGAATGATTTTCGTCATAGATTGGTCAATAATTTATTTCAAATCTCAAAAAACCTTTTAAATATACTCCAAGTACCTGCAAAAATTCATGATCCTTTAGAATGCTTTCCAGCAGTCTGTTCATCTTCTTGATTCTGGCTTGTGTAGTATAAGTTGCGTTATGCAATTCCAAATACAATTCACCTCTCCAACTACATAAATTGTCTATATCTTTTACCAGCTGAAAAGCTGACCATAAATAGAAAGTGCAATTAAGAAACAAAAGAAACAAATGAAAATTTACAACACTTTTGAGAACCTCAGTGAAAAATTCTTGAGGTGTTGCATGTTGCACTCGAGGTACTCCATCACAATCTGTTAAACGCTCAGCCCTTTCCAACATATCTTTATTCGGACCTCCGCCTCCGTCCCCAAATCCATACAGCATCATTGCTATGCTAGAACGTCCATGATCTGTAAAATTATCTCGAGAATCCAAGCATTCTTTCACTGTAATCTGAAAATAATTCCATATAATCAAAGAGATAAGACGGTGTCATTTATTCTAATGTATACAAAGGTGTTATTTATTCTGAATCATTTCAGATTCCGAACTTTGGGAACATAAGGGTGAAAAGAAATGAATATACCTGTGATACGTAATGATTTGGAGGAAAATGAGCGACTACGCAGGTACCGTCAATACCAATCCATCGAAATGAATGATGCGGAAATTTATTAACCATGGACCAGCTCATTTTTTGAGTGACGAAGTACTTCATTCCACAGTGCTGCATTATCTGAGGAAGCTGTGCAGAATAACCAAATGTGTCGGGCAACCAGAATATCTCTGAGAAACTGAAAATTAGAATCTTCATTATTAAGCCTCGAAATATGTACCATAAACAACTCACATATTAATGTATGAGCTCCCAACACCTTTCATTTAATATTTTTTTATTCCTTCCCTGTACTTAATCTCTAGCAAATTTGAATGCAGAGTCATAAATTTTGGTAAAGCAAAACTTACACACCGCAAAATTTCTTGAATTCTCGTTGTCCATATAACAATTGTCTAATCATACTTTCACCACTTGGTAAATTTCCATCCATTTCAACCCATGCCCCTCCAACTGCAACAAATCGTCCATCTGATGCAAAATCTTGCATATCGTCATAAAGACTCGGATAGCACTCTTTCAACCATACTAACTGCAACTATTTTTGATCATTTATTTCATTCTCATTTTGCTGTAAACTTTGCAAGTTGGGTTTCATAGAATGATTACATCATATCCAAAAAAAATAAATCCAATAATCCATAATCATAATCTCTCACTTGCTGCGCTTGTGAAACAACAAACTTCATCCTTTTATATTTTTTCATTAAACGCAGGGTTGCAGACCAACTTCGAGCACATTTTCTCCGTGTTTCCCGGTACCTAAATCCAAGTAAATACAAAACTACAACGGAATCAATTAAAATTTAAAAGCGTGCAAGAAAAACGGAGACAATTACCGCCATAACCACGCAGTATCGATGTGACAATTGCCCATTGCATATAACGTCATCTGACTTGTTCCATTTGGTTGACGGAAAAATTTTTTAGCTTGTAAATGACATTCCATTTGTGCATCCAATGAAAAATTTGATGCAACAAGGCAATTGATCTAAAATATTAAATCTTTGCAAATGACGAATTGTTATACTTTGAAAGAGAGCACAATAATTATCACATGTTTTACCATATCATTCGCCATAAATAAGGCCTGATATCTCCTCGCTCCTTCTTTTGGTAACATTTTTGACATTTCCAATAGAAGTTCAAAATCGATAATAAGATCGTAAATTGTTACATTGTATTCTGCTAATTCACAACGTTTCAGCTGTAATAATAATTAAACAGAAATTCTTCCATTTATATGATTTTCTTTAAATGATATTTTTGTATCGGGTATAAACAGCATTTTAAATGATATATCCGGAATCGATCAATACTTCGAATAATTTATCCATCTTCACGGGCCCTAATGCATTGCCATCACCGTCACCAGATCGATCGCTACACGACGCCTCGATATAAAATCTTTGTAGAGTTGGAGAAATAGAAATTGCAAGATCCGTACGTCCAAAATCCGGAGACAAACCTGATAACAAGAAGATTATAAAAATATCTAACTACATTTTATAAAGAACTAATTGAATTAAATTTATTTTTCAATGCTTTTAAGAACTCAGAACCAAAATTTTACAACTTCAATAGATAAAAATCTAGGTTATATGTTTTTTTTTGTTTTCTGTACTTGGTTGTAATTATGGTTTGAAGTATTATGATTATTTTATATTTTGTTTTGTGTTAGTCTTTTGTTTTCTTCTTTGTTACTATTTTAGTTCAATTTTAAAATATCTGATTTGTAATTGGGGGATTTTATATCTATTTCTGATTTTTTTCGTAGTCTTGTTTTTTAAGTCTAATTTGTTTTTTGTTTTTTTTATATTTTTGTTTTACAAGGAACATTTTCGATTGTGTCCTCGGGGTGGATTTTTATTCTTTTCTGATTCTTTTAATTGTTTTTTTCTTTTTTATAAATGTTAGTTTTTATGGTTGTCTTGTTTTTTTTATACTGGTAGTTTTTTGATGATTTGTGAATTGACTGCAGTCCTGTTGTTTACTAAGGTATGGTCGGCAAGTTGAAGAGATTAGTGCTTGTTATTACTTCTTTTTTTATACCTTATTTTTTGATATACCTTATTTGTTATTGTACGGTCGTGTTCTTTGCTTTTTAAGTTTTGTTTATTATGGTTTAAGAATTAGTTTTTTTGCTTGGTTCATTTTTTAATTATTTAATTACTCGAAGTATTGCATTATGCTAAGAAGTATTTTTTCAGTACCTTATAAAATCTTTAGGTAATGGAATATGAATCAAGAATCACCATAGGTCATGGATTATTATCAAACCAAAATTAGTAGATTGGATGCAAAATAACACCTTTTATAGGATGACCATCTTCGGACCATAGGAGAGCTTCACAAAGAGGATCGAAGCGTAACACAAATTTCGTTTCACTCGAACAGTTCTGGGGTAGGCTGATGTCAACTTGAAACCAATGCGTTGTCCAGGTTGGGCCAAATTTGAATCCTATACATACTTCTGCACCTGAAATGTAATTCTTTAGCTCAAATCAATTTGATCACTATTAGTCGAAAATCAGGTAAACTGTGCTCAATGAATGTTTCCAGTACATACTAACATTCGGAAGCTAAAAAATAGAAAGGCAAACCCTCGAAGGAAACGAAAGTGAGGGAAGAAGGTCTTTTATATTAAACTGTGGGAACAAATCTCAAACAACGTAAAATGAATCATATGAATATTTTAATTGAAGTCTCTAAGCACAACACTAGAACCCTGTATAACAGAAAAAATGCATTTAATTCAACCTTGATTGCCATTTCAATGATTACCTCGAGTGGAAAGAGTTTCCACAGCTTCATGAAATGTTACGATATCGAAACCAAAATCACAATGTTTCACATGAACCGGATATGATCGCCCGTAAAGACGACCACGTAAGTTGCAATCCTTGAAATAATCTTGAGAAATAAACTTCTCCACTCGTTCAACGGTTGTACGCTCATTTTTGAACAATGGAGCTCTGTACGTGAGCGTCTCATTCATTGTTACGTTTCCTAAAATATGGAAATTTCATACCATAAGTTCTCTGTTACCTGATAATTATCATCAACTGACTAAACACATGTCGGATAGGGCTCAGTGAAAGAGCAATCATTCATTCTAAGTGATGTCAACTTCTTCCACATCAATCCTCACCATCCAAAACAGTAAAGAGTAGTTCCACTTCATAAACAACACTACCATTCGTGACACTGTTATTTAGCTAAATTTTCACTTCTCTCAAATATATGCTGTGTCGTCTGATTTCACTGCTCTCTGCTCCCTCTAATTTAATCGAATTCTTTCTTCACTTACATTGTCTGCAACTATGGACGAACACAGTCTATCTTCATGTCAATTGTTTTAAAAAATTTTGAATTTAAAAAACTGATGCTGATAGAGGTTTCATCATCCTACGGCAAATGAAACAAGCAGCAATATGCAAATAATTTTAACTCGATTATAAATTTTCTTTTGATTGTAAGTAATGCTGATTTATTTGCAGCAAATAACGATATCGTAAGAGGCATAATTATAATCATAATTGATGCCTTTTACAAGATTACATCCATTCTCGCGCTTCTAATAGAACTCTTCTGATTTTGACTACTCAAGAATACAATGTCCCCTAACAAATTTTCAGCAGAAATTTGAATCTAAAATTTCACTTTTTTTGCCATTCGAATTTATACATTATCCTCTTTTAGCTCCATTTTTTTATTAGTGTGAAAATAATTAAAATTTGACACTGATTCAATATAATCATCGTATAATGGATTTGATGATATAGAAAAGACATTAATCTTTAAATTCATTTGAATAGTATATCATCGCATTTTCAGGGATTATGAAAATTCATTAAATAATCGAATTAAAGACAAAACTGTTTCGATAAAATTACTTCATTTATCTGTTTTTCATTCGGATATTTTTTAAATGAAACTTGTTAAAAGTAGTGTTTTCATTGACCAAACTAATAATTCATTATTTCTTAATGTCTTAATTTCAGGTTAAGCAAAATCTGAGATTGGGATTATTGTAAATTAAATGAAGTATTTTGGCATAAAATTTAAAGAAATAAAGGAAGTAACTCAGAAGGTTTAAAATTAGAAATACTTTTAGATTTGCTTATACCTTTCTGCTGCTAATAACATTTTCGGTACTGTGCACTTTCAATATAATCACTTTGCCAATTTCGAATTGTTCCAAAAATCATTTATAATCTATTGCCTTAAATCTGAATTTTGTTGGGACTGGGCTATCATATCAGCAATTAATTCATTCGCACTACTCCGTCCCATTCGTTGATATTGTGATAATGATGCCATTTCTTAGTCTCAGTAAACTATTTCTGTTTCGTTGAATCATAGCTTTTTTAATAAATTTAATTTAACCCAGTCCACTGCTCATTTTAAATTAAAATGATAAGAGAAAATAGATTAGCATATAACTTGTAGCTAAAGGTAGTCAAATATGAAATGACTATACTTTTGTGATTCGGACACAGATGGACTTTCTTACCAGCAAAACAGCAACAAGAAATGGCTAATTAAATTTACTAAAACTTAATTTGTAATTCAATAATTAGATTTAATTAGAAATGTAAAGATTTATGTGACCAAAGAGTAAAAACAGAGGATGCTGCAACGATTGGTATTGATGACATTAGCTGCTAGGCATGACACATCTGTCCGTAGAGCGTCATATTAAAGTATTCGTGCAACAAGCTGCCGTAACAATTGCTGCAACATCAATCACTGATATTGTAGCTTTCCTTGTTGGTGCTATTCTATCGTTACCAATTGTAAGTTTTCATTTGTAGGAAAGAAATTTAAAAATAGTAATAGAAAGAGAAATAAGCAGTGAGATAAATAAAAATAAACAATGCTAGCAATAAAATTTTTAAGTCGATTCAGTTTCAAAATAAAATAAATTTTCCATGCTCAACTTTATATATAATGAACATTAATTCAGTTAATTAAATAGTTAATTATCGACATAAAGATCATCATTTGAACTTCAAAATAAAATATAGATAGATTAAGCTTCATGTTAATCTGGAGAAGATTTGTGCCAACATATACCGAATTACATTTATGTCTTTTTCGATGATTGTATTAGTACCCGTTTTCCACCGGGATTTGCGAAATCTCGGTCGGTCTTCTTGAGTGTCTGGCGGGGGATGAGACGTGCTGTCAAGTGGACAAATAAATGGAAAGAGATTTCAGTAAAGAAGAAATGAGAAGGAAAGACAGTGAAGTATTTCACTGCCTTTCCTTCTCACTTTAGTGAGCTCACCGAATGTTTCGTGTTAAATTCCCTCATTGTTCGATTCTTCAACACCTTCAACAGAACTCACCTGTTGTCCAAGATTGATTCATGTTGGGAGAACTTCCATTAGCGTCTTCCCATTCACTACCTACTCCTAAGCATTTTCTTGAGGTTGTTGATAGTTGATGAAATAATTTCAGGAAATGTCAAAAGCTGTACGGCATTTATGGTTATTGACCGATAATTCGACAAGAATATTATTGGGTTCTTGGAAGTTTCAACGATGTAGCTTTGCTTGTAAGACCACAATACTTCCTTTGTCAAGCATAATTTAAATAATATGCCATTTTATATTTTGCATTAGTTTACGTTTGTTTTGCTTATATCCCAGGCTTCTGTTTATATTAGCATATCTATTCATTGCAGCTGCAATGAATATGATCAAAAGTGAAAGGGTCGGTGATAAAATGAATGTTGGTTTAATTAAACTTGATAGACCAAGAGCATTAAATGCATTGTGCAGTCAGCTTATGCAAGAGGTAAGTCTGACAATAAATTAATTTATTCGGAAGCGAAAAGGAAGAGTATTAATCAAGAAAAATGAACGTGGGATATTTCAATTTAGTATCGTAATACTTTATTAGTATCGTAAAGTTAGTAATCATAATACTATTACAAATCGTAAAAGTTTGAAGCCGTCTCCGTAATAAAAAATTAAATTGTGCTTAATGGTGAAAAATTATATGAATGAATCTCGAAAATGAAAAATTTGCTATTGTTATATAATGTTGAAATTGTTCTTGTATATTTTATTTATTTCGAAAGAGGGAGATCGGGAAAGACAAATTCTCGTTTTGTAGCTTTCAGATGCACTGGTTGAATTCGATAATGATACTTCAATTGGAGCAGTGGTAATAACAGGTGCCAAACGTGTATTTTCGAGTCAGATACTTTCCATTCTTGTCTTTTATCTTTATAGATGGTTTTGAAAAAATAGTTGAATTGATATATTTTATATATTCATTTCGTAGCTTTTGACAAATGTAATGAAGTTTTTTCGTGATACTTCATGATCTTGCAAAATTATATATGATGGTAAAAGTCGTTATTGCATATTTTTTATTCCTAACATGGGCCTTCTTTACTTGTAATACATATGAGAGAAAGAAGAAAGAGATAAAAGCTTTCATTTTTCGCGAAATATCATTTAATATTTTAAGTAGCCTGTATGTATCTATGCATTCTGAAGATAGTGGGATCTTTTGTCTTTCTGTATGCTTTGCTTTATTTCTATATCTTCGGAATAGAGCTACATGAACTGCTTAGTCGAATTCTGTTAGAACAGTTGGGGTGATTTTGGCTGAAGTTTGAAGGAGATGTGTATTGAAGCATTCTTTTCTCTTTTCCGCAGAAACATTTCCCGCTTTGATGGCGTTACATAGCACTGAAAAAGAGAACTGCGGTGGTGATTGAATTTTTTTCCTTGTTTTCTAGGAATCTATTATGATATGAGTATAATTCACCAGATGCATTTACATGCATTACAGCGGGAGCTGATATAAAAGAGCTGTGTGCTGTTCAACATGAAGCGATATTATCCGGAAATGCATTACAAAACTGGACCCAAATATCGAAGATAAAGAAACCGATTATTGCTGCCGTAAATGGTTATGCACTTGGGGGTGGTTGTGAATTGGCTATGATGTGTGACATAATTTATGCCGGAGAGGAAGCTAAATTTGGACAACCAGAAGTTATTATTGGGACTATACCAGGTAAGTTTTTGTAGTTGTTAGTGTTTTCGTGATGATATTAGTCTTTAAGAAGATTTAATTTTTAAGATTTAATAATTATCTCTAAAAGTGTACAGCACTATGCATAAATGGATTCATTGATATGAGTTGCTGGATGAACTTTATAAAACATTTGCAAGGGAATTTAGCCATGAATTTAAAGTTCACTTATCGGTCACATAATAAACTTATATAAGGAAAAATATTATTCAAATTTCATTTCAGGCTCTTGAAGTTACGATAAGTAATTCTTAATTGCTGAAAAATGTTTCCAATCAATTTATAGGATGAAGAAGATATAAAGTAGCTGTCTTTCTAGCAATTTAAAAAACTATTTAAAAATCTGTATTCCAAACGCTGACACGTGCAATTTGCAGGTGCTGGTGGTACTCAAAGATGGTTGCGCGTTACTGGTAAGTCCTTGGCCATGGAAGTTTGTTTGACAGGAATACCCATAACAGCACAGGAAGCGAAAGAACGTGGTCTTGTTTCGAAAATATTTCCAGTTGATCAAGTAACTTTTTCGACATTTTTTAGAACACCTTCTTTGTCCAACTTCGAACATAATTTATTTTTTAATTCCTTTGCACAGGATCATATTAGAATCAAACTTTAGAAGTTTTGAATGGAATAATGAGTCCACACTTTAAGTTGTATATATATTTTATTAAATATAATTCTATAAAATTAGCGAATTTTACCCATCTGCGAATATTCAGGTTGTACTGGAGGCTATAAAGACAGCTGAAAAAATTAGTGAACATTCACCACTGATAGTATCATACGTGAAGGATGCTATTAATTGCTCTTATGAAACTTTTCTACAAGAAGGTCTTCAATATGAAAGCCGGCTGTTTTGTGCCACTTTTGCTACGGTATGTGTTTTGGTACGTTTCGACTCATTTTGACTGTGTATCTATTTAATTTTCGTTTCCACACTGCATCAGGTATTGTGAAAGCAACTTCATTTATGACATGAGGTAATAACTAGTGTTTTAAAATTGAATAGAACTTTTGCGACATGTGATCATTTTTTCGAACTAACTAATCTGTATTCAATGTTGTGAGGTATTGTTCAAATCGGTCTTATAGAAAATTATAAATCATAGAAATTACTTGTTCGGGTTTATTTCAATTTTAATTATGTTCTGTTTCAGAAAGATCAAAAAGAAGGTATGAAAGCATTTCTGGAAAAACGGAAACCAGAATGGACATCTTCATAAATGGCTTTTGATTTGTTAAGTAGTAACTTTCAAACACTTTTCTTCTGCATTTGGCAAGGTCGGTTTTTTTAGATAATACCTTATTCCCTTCTGCATAAGATTTTGAAGGTATATACTGAGTTTATTTTCACATATATTAAGCAGACTAACCGAATACCGCCAATATAGCGAGCTATTTGTGAGTAATCGGTTTTTGATTTTATTGAATACCAAACCCGCTCTACCTTTATTACTATGTGGCTTTTGGGTGGTGAAGCCGATACTACTAACGAAAGTCATTTGATCTTAATATACTTCTTCCCCTTTGTGCTTTGCAACAGTTTTACAGAAACTATGATCAACTTTCTCACATGTGTGGTTAAATAATTAAAGGGCTTTGAAACGATTCTGGAATTCTTGCAGCTAAAATTGTAAAGCCAAGAAATTATAATGATTCACATAGAAAGAAATTGTGATAATACCCTGGACGAAAGCGCCTTATAAGTTTGTTAAATTTAAATGTTAAATTCTTTTTCGAAGTCACCAATATATTTCAATATGCTGAAGAAGCTCCCTCGATTTTCTCTTGATTTCAATTAAGAGAGAGAATTATTAGGTCAACTGCATGATATGCTTGCAATTTTATTCTAGAAAAGTCCCTTTCAGCAAAAGATGAGCTCTTTGTAGTTTGTTTACTTCCTTATCAATTTTGCTAACTACATGGTGAACAAAGAAAAAAGGTAAGAATATTCGACAGTTTAAAATGTAAAGTTACTACAAAAATATGTGAAATTAAAAATCAGAAAAATGATATCAAACAATTTGATTTTTATGACATTTGACAGGTATCTGTTTTGCAATGATCGTTACACAATCATAGTCAATTGTCTAGAATCCATGAATCAACAGAAAAATAAATAGTTCATTCATTTCCAAGATCGTGATTGCAATTGAATTTTTTTATATGTTACAAAACAGAAAGAGCAAGAAAAATTAACTTCAAAATGAACTTATGTTTAATGAACAGAAGTTGAAGCATTTCTTATCGGAATTATATGTTCTCACGTTGAAATTTTAATCTCCAAAAATTTCAATTCCTCTGAACTCTGCACATAAATATTTTTTATCTATTGAATCAAGTCAAGTCATTTGCAGTGATAGGATGTCATCATTTGAATATTCATACAGATTTTATGGATTAGCATTAATTTCCGTTCAAGAACCAAGGAATAAACGAATATCCAGAATGTTTCAATTCCAAATTTTTGAGCACCTAATCCTATGTAAATCCAAAAATTAATGCTACAATACTGAAATCAGTAATAGTCAGGACGTTATCTTTATTGAATAACTTTAACTATAGTCGTATGCTCGGATTTTTAAAGACCGTGAATTTTTGTTTGTAGGAAAATCATAGTTCCTTCACCAATGTTTTCTTGCTAGCAAATTATTCCTTAAGAGCATTTCATTCTATTAGTCAATAGCTAACATTAAAGTTGTTTATAGAAGCTTGAGTTGACGACATATATTTACGAATTTAGGCCGATGATTCTCATGCAAATAACCGTATAGACCTGAAAAATCATTAATAGAAAGAACCATCAAATAATACGAGAGTGTTCCGACTTCCAATGTATTGCAGTGATAATGCAACTATACTTCTGGCGTTACTAAAAATTTCTCAAAACCGAATGAATAAAATTTCTATTTTAGTAAATCTGAGTGAAACATCCGAAGATTAAGGTAATCGGACGACATCGCCCAGAGAAATGGCGAAAAAACCGAACAATATATAAATTCTACTCATAGAACGGTGAAGGATGTAATTAGGATTAAAACTTAGAATTTTTGTACTTATATGGGGAATTTTAAATTTTACCTTTGAAAATTTCCAAATGGTTTGGCACAGTTTCCGCAGTAAATGTTGAAATCAATGTTTGAAAATTATTATCCGCTGCATAATTTGTTAATGCCATTTTTAGGGTTATACATTTCGATTTCTCAATCGATTGAAGCTGAAATACATATACATTTCGATTTCTCAATAGATTGACGCTGGAGAAGTTCATTCAATGAAAGTACAGGCTTGAATATTATCTTAGTAAGTTTAAATACAGATGTTAAATTTAAATTCTTCAATATTTCAAGGAATTTCCTTGAAATTCCGTATTATTTTCGTTTTATGCATTCCTGAATACTCACGAGTTTGTTGTATTTTACCGCAGATTTTTGCCAAGCAGCCATTACATCTGCATCAGATTGCAATATCGATAACGATTTATACTGTAATTTATGCAAAAATATCGAAGGAGTTTAAAATAACCATGAAAAAATTGCATTTTAAAAATGTTGTGCGGAACAATTCCTGTGGTTCAGTAACAAGGATTTTTTTGGTAATAGAAAACGCAGCTTTCAATATTGAACAGCAGTTTTGCATTAGTTACTGTTAACTTGAAAACGGATAATCATACAAAATGTGCATCATCTTCCACAGATGAATTGAAGTTAAACAGAAACCCACTTCTTTCATCTTTTTCTCGCACTTGCCATTCTCTGGGTGACACTCGTCCTTGAGCAAAAGTGAAACATTCGGCTAAAAGTTTATCCGCTTTGTTGTTGAAAATTAGCGAGGCTAATTAAAAATTATCAAGGTTACCATTATTTCCTAATGGTAATAACTAGCAGTCTGGGAAAACTAGATCAATGGATAATAATTACCCGCAAGCGCAGTTTAGTTCTAGTTTTCTGTACTATTAAGCCGGTGCCTGACTGAATATTACTGTCATCGATATCAGTGGAGTGATTGATATCAATTAATTCATTCATCTTTTTCGCTTCTTCCTAAAAACGCATTTTTTTACGGACACAGAAAGAAAAAAGGGAATGACAAAGTCATATGCAAATTGAAATTGAAGAAATAGTGAATAAAAAAGAATATTGGCATCAACAACCCAATTAGTAACAAAAAAATTCGATTGCACTCATAGATTATCTTATAATCGCTGGTCATCAGGCATGTCATTTAGAAGACCCAAATCGTTTATGAAGTGTAATCGCATAAGCAGAGGAAACATTGAAAAATTACAAATAGAAAATTTACACAAAATTCTTCAAGAATAAACAGATTATGATAAAAAAGAAATAAAGCATACTAATTCCTCAAAAATACATTTTCTTTTTGGACGTTTTAGTACAGTTTCTTCGACGCTAATACTTTTTTCAAATGCTGCTACCGCTTCAGAAGAGTAGAGCGTATCGATATCGAAAGGCAAACCCTCACTGTTTGCCTTCTGTTCCAGGATTTCATGCTGCTTCTTGTGACAAACGAATCCGGGCGCCATTTCCATAGCTGATGATATCTTCCTGTGGTTAATACACACCTATGAAATTGTCTACGGTTAACAAAATAGATCATGTTTTAAATTTAAGCTTACGGACCAAAGATTCCCCATGCGATTAAACTGTATGTTAAGGAATCGTCATATCAGGTTGAATACGAGAAGAAAATAAGAGATCCCTGGATACTTGCCATAGGCAATCACCGTCACAATTACTTTTACTTCAGATTCAATCGATTTAAATTACAGGAGAATTGGAACCGGTCAAGAAAAGTTCACGACTTCAACAAAATATTGCGAATTAGAAATCATGCGAAACAAAACAATTCAACAAAGTTAGCACCTCGATATTTCTTTTTTTGAAGAACTGCTTGCATTTATTCTCAAAATCGCTAATATTTTGATAATTTTTCAAACATTCACGCATCCAGGAAGGAAACCGTTTTAATGGCATCGAGCAAAATCTTTAAAAATTTAAATACATTAAAAACATATTTCAAGTAGCCGACTGTTCAATCAATTAAGTTCATATATCAGATAATTGTTAATTTAATTACACTAGAGATTCTAATTTTTCCTTAAAATTTACGACGTGAACATTGGCACTCCCGAACAGCAATTTACTCCATCAAATGATTAACGTCTTACTTAACTTTACTCACTTCATAATTATGCAAAATAGTGCGTTAAATAAATGACTGCATAGAAATTTTATAAAGCGACAGTTGAATTTAAACTAATCTCCACCTCGAATCAACAAGAACGACAACACCAAAATCATCTTTATGTCGAAGAACGCGTCCAATTGACTGATTCACACCACGAATTGCATCCACTTGATACCATTCATCAGCTGATATATTCTGAAAGTTGAGAATTAAATCATTTGAAAAGATGCGGATGAATTATTTTAAACTAATAAAGCTTGAACTTCCTCAATCCATCGGCACATTAATGCAGTGTTAAGATTAAAAAAGGAAGAAAGAAATAAAAGGAATAAAATGAGCTAAAATAAGTCGGATGATACAACATTATCACTATTAGCGTATGCTGGGTGCCATTAAATGCAATTTATAATATATTACATATAATGATTTTCAGTCTGTTTCGAATGGTTTTTTCTATCGTAATTAACGTAATTAGGTAATGACGTACGTTGATTCCTAGAAGAGAGAGTAATTTCACATAGTTAATGGATTTCATTTTTCTTATAATCACAAGGAAATTTATTTTGTCAAGGATAATGAAGTTTGTACTGACTTTTTTCAACTCCTCCTTTGCAATACCTATCCTTTGTTTGGTAAGAAATTGTTTTTTAAGTTCAATTCTAGGATTTGTTGTTGGAGCATACGGAATACCTACTACAATAACACCACGGCTTTCATTATCTGAGAAATCGATTCCTTCGCTTACCTCAAAATATTTCATGATCCAAAAAAAAGCTAAATACAGGATAAGATTTTGAGACAAAAATTAGTATATAATTGATGGCTTCATACATAAACCATTGACCAGTTCCAATAAATTTTAAAATTACAGACATTTTTATGAATATCCAATAATAAAAAAATGTCTGAAATACATCGATATAAAAAGATATTTGTGTTTGAGATGAATTCCAATTCTTACGTACTCCAGCCAAACTTTAAAACAGTTAAATAAAAACTTACCTTAGCTCTACAAACAGCAAATAAGATAGCACCAATACCTCTGCTTTCCCTCACTTTTTGCCTAAATTGCAATAGTACCGTTTTCAATTCCAATTTAGACTTCGGTTCAATGAATGCCTCTTTATGAGACATTATTGTTTCCCACATAAATGTTGTGCCGAATTTTGCCGTCTACAAGTAATGTTAACAGCTACAGGGATGAATTTTAATCTCTTAAGTTAA